AAAGGCAGGCTGAGTTCAGTGATTGCAGCAAATAAAAGCCTGTGATATTCATTGGTATACTGTGCTCCTATCACAAGAGCATTGGTTTTGATTGTAACTAACTAACTTTCACTATAATCTTTGGACCAAGTAGACCATGGAACAGAGTAATCTGTGAAGACAATCAGTGTTCCTCTGGCTCCTGCCTAGTGGCTCCTAATGGCAGTTGCAAGAACTCCCCGGGCCCTGAAATGGAAACAACCAAAGACCAAAAACAATAGAAAGGCCACACAATAGTCCTTACCGCAACAGCCTGGGTTTGATTCCAACCTGTAGCCCTTTGTTGCATGTCGTCCCCCGTCTCTCTCCTCCTTTTCCTGTCTATCTACAATGTCCTATCGAATAAAGGCATAAAAAAGTCCAAAAAAACATATTTAAACAAAAAAGTGTAATCATTTATATATATTAATAAGAATATAATTATTTCAATAAATTATTATTATTTTTTTTTAAATCTGAAGCATGCAACAAGTTAACAAAAGCACTCACATCCAAAATGGATAAATACTAGTACCAAAGTACATGTGAAAAACTGAAAAAACAGAAGCCGCACACTAGATAATGCTCCCATAAACATTTATTAGTATATTACATGTGACATTGAATAATCTGGGAAAAAACTCATGATGATGATGATGTGTGTGATACGTGTGTGTGAAGGCTCTTAAAGAAACTTACTCTACTTTCATTTCAGTTTTGGTCTTAGATGTTGTGAATAAATTGACTGTATTACAATTGCTTACTAAAATAAATTAAATTAAATTAAATACTTCTAATGTAAAAGAAAAAAAGAGCTGGGTTTGGAAGAAACTGCTACTTATTGTAAAATGATTATTACACGAGTGGTCTTGTTATGTGACTGACAGGTGCATGATGTGAAGTTCCAAGCTCAGACTGCAGAGGACAAGGAGGCTTGGATTAAGGCTCTGAGCGATGGCATCAATCGAGCAAAGAACAAAGTCTTTGATGAGGTAAATGTCTGCGTAATCCCTAGTTTTTATACATGTTCAACTCAGATGGATTCAGTGGAACAAGCTTTATGTGTTCACAGGTGATGGTTGATGAAAGCAGTAATTTAGAGCATGTTACTCGAACGAGGCCCAAAGGGAACCGTAACCGGCGGCCACCGACCAGGATACACATGAAAGAGGTTTGTGTGTGTATTTGTGTGTGAATGTGAGAATCCATTCATCTGTGTCTGTAACAGACAGTGGTAGTTTAGCTCTGTCACTACAGTACTAATGTCTAGGTTTGAATCTCAACTCAAATTCAAATGGATTTCTTATTGGTTTAAACACACAGTCTGAAAGTCATTCTGACACCTTAAATTCTAATGTAAGCCCACTTATATACACAGTGGGATTTTATCATTTCCAGTTAAAACTGCAGTAGGTAATGACATTTGCAAGAACCCATTGAACTGACAACAATCAACTATCCTCAGTTGTGATTGGTTGCTTTTGTTCAGGAGCCAGAGGAACCTGATTTTATCACAGATTTTTTTGTCTCATGTACTACTGTTAGGATATAGTGTTTTATACATTTTAGCAAATATGACATTGATGTTATTTTTGCATTTATTTAAGTAAATCAATAACCAATTAAGGAATGATAAATATGTGGAATCAAATATTTTGTTTTTGTCACGTGTAGCCACATGTCTGGACAGTTTCCACAGCAGATTTTATGTTTCCACCTCCAACAGAAATAAATCTTTGCCGTTTTATTCGTAATAAATATAGTTGTTAAATGTTAATAGGTTAATAAAAGTTGCTTTTATGTATATTAAGTATATTTAATATATATATTTATAATTTCTATGTTAAATATTTTATATTAGGTATATTTTACCATATTTCTGGTAAACATCTTTCTGTCCTTTTTTTAATTTGCCTGTTGACTTAATCAGCTCTGCATAATGTGCAATTTATTCCTACTGCTTTTTAAAAGAAACATGATTGATAGTCACTAATTAATTCTGTTTACTTCTACTATGCTGTGTTGATGAAAGTCAATACTCCTTTTATGGTAGGCCTTTAATGTGAAATATCTCTGCAGGAAGCGCTTAGTGACAGTAGCTTAACAGTGAAAACAACAACAAAAAAAATGTATTTAGAAGGGTTTGGAATGTATTTGTGAATGAAAACAGTATTTAACCTTTATTTAATGAGCAAGTCATATAGAGATTAGAAACTCTTACAAGTGAGTCCTAGCCATGACAGGGTCAATTAGGAACTAGCCCTTGTGTTTGTATAAAGCCCTTATTCGAATTTATGGTATATTAGCATTTCATTTTTATTGTCTTGTCTCTATGAAATCATTTTTTCCTTATAGGTAGCCGTTGTGTCGTCTGATGGCATCTTGCGTTTGGATCTTGATCTTGAGGATGCCATAATGCCTAATGGGACAAATCATGCCAGTGTTGATGGCCCAGAGAGACCCAAAGAGGCCATCAAAGTCCCAACGCCTCCCTCCAATGCCAGTGAAGCTGCACAGAAACTGTCAGGGCCAAGTGATGAGGAGGAGGCTCAGACTGAGCCAGAGGTCAGTCCCCAGAAAAAGGTTATCAAACCTCCCATGCCCCCTACCAAAGAGCCTAAACCCAGTGCAGGACCTGAACATGAACCTGAGAAGGATGATGGCCAAGAGAAAAAGGTTTGTATAATGCTATTTAGCCCTTGTCATACAATAAATATTTGTGTATGTCTTCCTAATTGGATACCATGGCCTATAAAATATGATTTATTTTTTTTAAGGTCCTGAAGCCACCTATGCCTCCATCTAAAGAAGTCAAGCCCTGTGTTTCATCTGCTGAAGAATCTACAGAGGAGGCCAATGCTGAGAAGATGTCTGAAAAGAGTCCTGATGCCAAGAAAAAGACAGGTCCACCTCCAACACCCCCAAACAAACCCAGCTCCAGCAGCTCCACAAGCAACCTTGCAGAGGCTTCACAGTCCAGGCCAAACTCCCACCCTCCTACCCCTCCATCCAAAGAGAAGAAACCCTCCCATTCTGCGGAGCCAGAAGAGGTTCAAGACACAACTGGTGAGCACAAGGAGAAAGAAGAAGACGATAAGAAAGAGGCAAGAGGAACATCTGTGGAAACTGATGAGGCAGAGCAGTTAGTTTCTCAAGAATCTATACAAGATGATGAACCTAAGAGTCCCAGCGAAGAAAGACAGGACATTAAAAAAGAATCAGGGGAGACTATAAGCAGTGGCATAAACAAGGCATCCGGCAATGAGCCACTCAGAAAGAGCTCTAGTCCTCTACTAACCCCCAAGAAAAAGCCAGAGAATCTTGTTCAACACCTAGAAGATGGAACAACTAATGAGGAACAGGACCCTACCGCATTTCTGCAAACAGCCCCAGATACCTCAGCCAGTTCTCCTCAAGCAGAAGAGACACTACCCAAGACTGAAGTCCCCTCAGTGGTTGTCTCTTTGAATGACCCGGTCACTGATGGCCTCAGCCTGAGTCCACTACTCTGTCACTTGCCTGGGGAGAAGAAAAAGAAAGCGGAGGAGAAATCTGTAGACAGCGGTCAGCACTCAGACGATGACAGCGAAGGCTCTGGGAGTGAAGACACGCTGGCGATGTCAACAGCCGCGTTGAGAGGAAGCCGGCCCAGTCTGGATGTGTTGGACGCCAGTGAGGATGACATTCAGATCCCTGTCGATTCAAGGCAGACACAGGGCGCAACCAAGCCTCAGGTTAGATCAAAGGTATTTCCCACTCGTCCTCTTAAACCCTCAACCAAGGCCAAGTCAGCCTCCATTGGAGATCTGCTTTCTGATTCTTCAGTCTTTACTCAGGTGAGACAGCAAGCCAAAGCTGTGGCTGGAAGCAACGGGGCTCCCAGCGATGATGTTATGAAACTTGAGGCTGAAGTGGCTCTGGAGATGGAAAAGACGAGTGAGCTCCTGAGCAGAGTGTCCCAGTCCCAGAGGGTAGGTGACGGGGAGGGCATGCCAGAGGATCTGCTGGCCGAGGCCATGGAAAAGCTGAAGAAGGCTGACCATGTCCTCAGGGAGGTCAACAAACTAAAACCTCCAAAGAACTCAAGCAAAAGGAAGAGCTGGTGAATGTCAGTCATAGCAGATTGACTGGGAATTGACCTTTCGCTAAACCCTTGTCCTGAACAGTGACTATGCAATCACAGGCAAGCTTTGCATTTCTGGACATAGCCTACTGTATCGATAGTGATATTCATTATACAAAGAGTTTGAAGGGCCATATGTTTATTTTTTAGGCTTTCCAAGAGCAAAAGTGAAAGGAATAGATTAAATATACAGTTTTTAAGTAAAATGTGTAAATTCTGCCAGTAAGGGGTGTCACATCAAAACAATAACAAAAGACGTTTGATGACGTAGTGTGGGATCATAGGAGTATTATCTTTACCACCATTGCAGTCAGCTTCTCCCAGTTAGGATTCCTTCACTTATCGTCATTCATGAGGTTTCTATTGGGAGCCGAATTGTCCATATAGATCTGATTAAAACCAGTAAAAACACAGAATAAAGCATTTCCACCTTAAAAATAACTTATTCTCCCACACTGTTGGGCAGACAAAGGACGTCCCGGAGGGGCTGCGAGCTGATGTCTAAAATCCTTCATCCGGTTCAAATGTAGAGTTAAATAGTACCAAGATCTTAAGTGATATGACGTCATTGACAGGCGAGCAATGAAATGCACCGTTACCTGAATAAAGTATTTATCGTAGGTCTAGTGTGACATTTTAATGTGGAAATATTACATGTAATTGCTTTAAACAGTGTGTTTGTATGCTCTAACATAAGCTGTAACCGTTAGCATCACCAGCTAACTAGCTTACTACTTCCTGTAGACACTCAATGTTACTTTCAAGGCCTTTCAAGTAGCCGACCTAACCACATTTGTGAGGTTACAGCTTACAAAAAAGCCCTGTTCACGACAAGCACATCCACTACTATTTCCCCACTGTGTGGAGGCTGCTTCTGGATGCTATTAGAGTTTAGGTTGACGATAGCAGCTCTGTCCTACTCTTCATTGGATTTGGGAAAGTTTTTGCTCCAGTAGCCAACATTAGTGTTTAGTTTGTCAAATACATCCTAAAAGCCTTTTCCTTTGTAACGTTAAAAGTAAATTGTACTGTTTGAAAGGAGACAGTGTTTTCAGTCAACTCATGGAGCTAACGTTAGCCTGTTTAGCTAGCTTATAAAATCTGATTGAGACAGTTGCGGCAAAAATGAGAAGCTGCTTTTGACTGGAATCAAATACCCACAGGTTCAAAAATGAATTTTGAGTGTTAAATTGTATACAGTTACCTGACAGGTGTAGCAACATTAGCTAAAGGGGTCAGGGTTTAGCAAACGGAAATAAAGGGGTAAGGGTTTAGCGAACGGACCTAAAGGGGTCAGGGTTTAGAGAATAGAGCTAAAGGGGTCAGGGTTTAGAGAATAGAGCTAAAGGGGTCAAGGTTTAGCGATCGGTCAATCGATGGACTCATTTTTGATGGTTATGCAGCACATGCAACTGTTCGCTCATAATTAATTAAGTGCAATTATTTCTAGTTTAACTTCATCTGCAGCTGAAAGTAATGCTTAATGTTCTACTTTGTGTTTTTTATTTTTTGTTATATATGAAATATCAGACATTTTCAAGAATAATTACTTGAAAGCTAATTTGAGAATTAGGCTATTAATATAATGACAAAGCAGCACTGTCAATAAATTGAGAACATTAAAAAAAAGTACTAAAAAGTGTTAATACCAGATTACTGAGATAACTTCTGTTATGAATTGGCACTATGCAAATATAATTGAATTGAAGTGAATTACACAACTGTCATAATAGTTCACTTTGTGTGGCAAAGTAAACTATTAGAGACCATGTTTTTTGCTGGCAGTTTATATGAGGGAATTTATATTGTACATACTTTATACTTTTACAACAGCATTTGCTGTTTGTTGTTGAGGGATAATGTACCAACATAGCTCAGGAGTTTTCTGAAATTAATCTTTTCAGACTAATCATGTGATTAAAGAAAACTGCTACTCCACATAGCAGGACTGCAGTTTTTTTTTATTAATGATGTGTTTTTAATACTGATATTGTACATAGCTCAGAATAAAGAGCTTGCGGCAGCCAATATGTGCTCTTCAGTGATGTTCCTCCCAATTTGGATCATGAGCTCTGAATTTTTGTCCAGTGCTTTGTTAAAAAATGTGATGGTAGTTTTTAAGGCCATTTTAAATATGCCATGCCATTTAGAGTATAGAATATTTTCTAACATTAGATATAAATTTGTACTCTTTGATAAAATTTGCTATTGCCCAAATAAACAAAGGTAAACTGTTTATCTGTTTATGTTTTGTGTCTTTAATGCAGTTGTACATCTAGAATCTCAAAGATGTATTTAAGGAATTTACTTTGTATTATTATTGGTTTCCTGTGGGGAAGGCATCAGGGTTTTAACCTTTTTTTTTTTTTTTTCATACCTGGTGGAAACCTACTTCAAATTGTATTTACTTATTTTTAGTGCTGAAACAATACTTGATCACTTAATTGAAATTGACAACAATTTTGATAATCACTGAATTATAATAGTAACATTTTTGTTACCTTAGAATGAGCCTATTATATCTACAGATGCCACAGGTCGCCCTCCATGGAGTCCACCAGTTCAACATTGTGGACTCCATGGAGGCATGTTTCTACAGTAGCCTGGAAGGGACAAATCAAACATTGGCTCCAGCTTTTTTTTGAGAGACAACTAGCTCAATAGTGGCATCGGCAGCTTGCAGTGGCATTTCCGGTGGCAGGTTGAGATGTCACGGCATCTGCCTCTGTTAGCAGCTGTTAAGCCAGTGCATTTCCAGTGCAGCGTCTGACCGCATCCACACCGATGTTTCCTGAGATGGCCACCGGCATCTCTCCGCGATTATCATGTCATTTCCGTGGCAGCCCTGAGATCCCATATTTTCCCCCTGGGCACCCTGCCATTGTTGTAATGGTAATTCCGGTGGCAATTAGGGATGCGCGAGGCACCAGCCACGTTTGTGTTGGTTGCCACCAGTTCACCGTAAGATGCCCATGGCACATTTTGCTGCCGATATGGGGTATATGCGTGCAAACAAGGGCTGGTCCGAAATCAGCCCACTACCCCATATAGGGGCGCTACTAGCAAACGCATATAACAACCAATAGCAGTCGTACCTGTAGAGAAACAGACGCGACAGCAACTGCAGGTGTCCTGTAGCCATCTGCTAGTAGATACCCGACATTTATTACCGTTACCTAAATGCGACACACTTGGCCAATATTAGACTCTGAGCATGTTTATCTTATATTCTTTTGCTCAATTATGGATCCCTTTTTTGGCTATAGGTCTGGAGGAGATGAGCAACCATTATGGTGGCATATATAAACATAGGACCGTGAAGGGTCCTTACTATTAAAGAGGCTAGTTTTGTATGGTTTGTCTCCTATTCTGGATGAGGATTCGTTGCCTTGATGGTCCAGTAAAAACATATGGGGGGGTTTATCAAGCAAGGTAGGGGAAGCAATTTACAGAACCTTTTCCAGTTGGAGTTTTGAGCGAAAATCCTCACGGAAATTAGTTACTATCATATAGGTGTGAAAAATGTGCTCGCTATTTGGGTTATAGGCAGGAGGAACTACTTTTACTACCAACCAGTTTTCATAGGGCCGCTTAAGATCTGGCTTTGGTAATTATAGTTAAGCTTGGGAGTTAAAACCAGGTTTGACGTACCTCGAATAATCATGAGTGCGGCTGGGCTCATAGAATTCAAGCTGTAAGTTGCTATCCTCACTAATTCGGAAGTCTCATTAGTGTGGCTCTGAGCATCTCTCAATCTTCTCTAGCTCCTCTACTCCCACTCCCATATTTACTGCAAATTGTAGTCCATCTTGTGTAGCAATATAGGATACCGGTAGGTCGCTCCATATAAAATCTGTCTTGACATTGCGAGTGTGCGTGGTGATTTATGGTGTTAACTGTGATGGTATTCGTTATTGTCTGTCCATAGGTGGAAGCCTCTCTGCAATTACGTTGCTGGTAGTGTATAGTCTATAAGAGGGTTAATGCGTTTGACACTCGCTTGATGATTGTTAATTGTAGCTGCTTTAGTGGTAGTGTAGTTATTATTATATTATTATGCTACAGTTATGTACAAGTATGTCGCGATCCTGCTGCTCATCAGCCACCATGTACAGGTGTCTCGATTGATGTTCTTATATACATGTTAACACCGGGTACGTAAATCGGATTAAAAAGGTAACAGAAAAAATATATCGATTACAATTACATTAGAAAAAAGGGTTATTAGCATTACATTTTATCAGTACGCTGAACAATGGTATTTTTGATGACCTCTAAAATGTTGTTCCGTCTTTTTTAGTACATCTTATATTAATACTTTCTTACTAAAATGTCCTGTCTTTATGTTCATTTCTTCGTCCTCTTCTGTTAATTCTCAACTCATGCTTCAACATGCCGTTTAATCCTATATATCGAATACCTCTTCCCGCGCCCCAAAAACCCCTCCATAAAATTCAATCACTCTTCATTCCCCATGCCATTCTCTCAACCCTACTCCCATCGCCACAGGTATGGTAAGATACCATAACATTATACCACCTATGGGACAGATTTGGATAGTATTTAGGATTTCTGCTGTTTAATAAATTGGTTATCTTGCCCCTTCTGTCGCAGCAAGGCATCTCGCTCATGGTGGTTTCAAGTTGGTCTCTGTAAATGTGTATAATTAAATATGAGATTCCCTAGCCGCTCATAATTGTTGATTTGTTTGGAGAAGTAACTTTTCTGTTATTTAATTGGCCCCAGATATAATGTTCATTAAAAAAT